ATCAAATCATTATTGACCGCCTGAAAAAGTTTTTTTTTAGTGAGAACTGAGGCAGTGAACCCCGTCCCTTTTTTCTTTTCAATTGGAACACATCTCCTGAGCAGAATGACTCCGTGAAATTGACGTGCGAGCCAAAAATGATTCTGCGATATCAACACTGATACGAGATGAAAGCGCTGATGCAAACAAAAACACGCTGAGGGGGGTGACTTCCATTCCATTTCACAGTTTATCCACATTGGAGCGGCTACCACGTCCTTCGTTTAACAATGTGAGTCATCTGTAGAGGAATGCGAATACTTTCTACCCTAGGAAACTGGCCAGCTTGCCCAGTAGCTTCATTTTAGATGTCCAAGGACAAGAAAAAAGAACCTAGCGCTTCAACTACTCAACCCGTGAAAGACGAAGCTTACCTACTCAATCGGTATAGCCGTTTAATTCCAGGGTTCAGAACATATTTTGTTAAAAGAGCAAAAGCGGTAGTAATTTTTACTGAAGACGTTAGCCGCGCTGCCTTCCACCCGATTCTGCGAACAATACATCATCGGCTTCACGTGTCAGCCCACTGGTCTTCGGAAATTTCAAAGCGCCAGCAGTGCTAAGTAGTAAATTCGCGCCACTTGGGACACGAAGCATTTCAATTAATTTGATGGAATTTCAAAGGGGGAATTCACGATGAAAAGATAGTCCATGAGAGTTGAAGATGTAGGGTAGGAGGTAGAAGGTGCAGTGATGAAGAAAAAACCAAGAAAAAGAGCTTAGAACTCGGGACATGGGACCTAGCGAACCAGCGACCAAGGCAACCTAGTATTCATTGGCTAGTCGCAACAGCCGTTATCATATCAACGAATAGCACGGTTTGACCAACAACGCATCACAGAGAAATTTGAAGATACGGCCGCTTGAAATAAAATGCTTTTCCAAAATGAACAAATAACGAGGATGATAGCAGCAGCAAACACATGCTCTGTCATATACTCGATATCCGGAGTTGGGGTAGGTGTGTCACCGGAAGTGACGTGCACTTGATAGAAGCTGCGTGGATAAGCTGCTTCCAACATACATCGCTGGATATCAGCAAAGCATGCTGGCAACAGCTTATCCACGCAACTTCTATCAAGTGCACGTCACTTCCGGTGACACACCTACCCCAACTTTCGGATATCGACTGTATATCAGGCATTGGTGGGCCACGGGTAGGTCACCGCTGTTTACCCCTGTGAGTCAATCATTTTCTAGGCGAAACGCGTATCGCCTCTGCTATTGAAATAACCCCCTGTTCTTTCACGAAGCTCCTGAGGAGAATCTATTTCCCACCGCTCCCCCCCACCCATTGGCCACGTCAAAGAATCCTATTTTAGGAGTCCAGAAAAAATCTGTCACCACCGATTTCGTCCTAATAATCGTTTGATGTCCCGATGGGTGAACTTAGTTCTTGTAAAACTAACATCGCGTGAATCATTGACGGACTTCGATAAACTCTGAGCAATGTCCTTCCGACACCGCGCCGAACTGCGCTGACCGCATGCTCATGGTATCTATGCAGATCCAGCTTCTAAAGCTTGCAGCAGCATTGCCTCCGCCTCGCTGTCCTCGTATAACTTTACTCGAGCAGTCAGTAGATGAAACAAAAAAAAATATGCGCTAGAAAAAATTTCGTTCCACAAATGACAGTACCTCCAGTATGCTCCAATTTCCCTCCCTAGGTATGATCCCCAATATTCGCTGGGTACGTTGTTCTTGTGAAACATCGCCACTTTGTCCCATGCTGAGCATTCCCTGCCGCCGCTTTGCCTTCAGCAAAGGTTTTGTTTATGATTTCACTCCACTTCTTCTTTGAGGCTCTCATAGTCGCTTGCTTTCGAAGTCCATTGCCTTTTCTAAGAAAGACCATGCGGCTTTAGATGGACAGCAGCAATCTGATGACCGCCGTGACGTCCTCATTCCTGACTCAGTCCAGTTGCGTGCAGCCGCGCTCCCATTTCAGCACCTTCCATTTCAGCCAAATATAACTATCCACGTGATAGGCTAGGGCCTAAGGCCATGGAGCATTGCGGGACATTTCTCCGGTAACCTTGCTCCTGAGCGCCCTGGAACACCGTCGGTTACAGAGGATATTAGTGAATTCCCATTCATCCACTCCACGTTTATGCAGGCCGTTTACTGCTTGGTGCATATTAGGACGGCAATGAGATAGTTGGCCACGGACCAGAACTCCACTCCTTGCTATCCCTTGGTAGTCTACAATTGACTCGGTGCGCTCTTGGAGGATGGAGAACTGTTTTTTTCCATGATCAGCCGAGAACTTCCAGCCATACTCCGCCATTTTGCATTCGCCCGGAGTTCTCCGCTCTCCTTGCAAGCGCTAGAAGGTACCGCGAGATGCTCAGAGCCAGGAGCAATAAAATGGGCGAAGCTAGCCTATAGAGGCGTGGTCAGTGGACTACCCAAGACTCCTTTTCAATGCCATTTCTGGTGTAATAGGGAAAGGAATGGGCACAAGGCTAAGCCTTTGAGGACGCCCAGTGTAATGTCCATCTTCTATGCGGAAGCGTGCAGGCTGTGTATGATTGTTTTGACCCCTTCGTTTACGTTCTTTAGCCGAGATGAGGTTGTTTGAAATCATTGCGGTTTCTCGTGGAACCGCAGTGTTCCTGAGTCGCTGGTTACTAACGCTTTGACCCTCACGGTAAGAATAGGAGGAGGTAAGCCATTGACCGTGGCTTTTGCTCGATAACTCTCCATCACTTGTCTAGCGATGAAGATGGTATCCATCCATTCGAAGGCGAGCTTTGACCTGCATAAAGACGATTTTTTCTGAATTTCTCTCCAGATTCCCATACTAGACTTCCATTTCTCTGCCATGACGACGGTACCTTCGTGAACTACGCTGCATTCTCTCCGCCTGGCTCCATCTCGCGTCTCACACAACGTCTCCTTTGCACACCGAGAGATGACCTCTGCCGCGTCATTTCATGTTTGCTGTAGGGAATGTGTAAGTTCAAAAGATAATTCCCAGCCTCCTTCATATGGAGGTTTTCCACTCCTCGGTTTGGTATACGCTTCCACCACCGGAACACGTTGTTGCCACTACTTTCTTGGGGGAGGTCTACGGCAAGGTCTGCCAGGGGAAGCTTAAGCTGGGAGCCAGATCATTACAGGGCACCACCTTGAAGTATTCTACTTTTGAGAATTATGAGGACGACCTTCTTACGAGCAAATGGTCAATTTTCATTGGCCTCCTTCCACAACTTTGGGCCACCTTCTAGACTTCCTTTCGCGATGAACGCGCTGCAGGCCCTAGACCGTCGCGTAGCTAGGCCACCCGCGTTCGCATTTTTCATTTCTATGCCTCTGCTTCCGTGGACTGCCTTCAGCCCCCATCTGTCGCTACCGACGTGGTCATTCAGTTCATAAAGTAATCACCTCCCGGAATCGATCTGATGACTTGTCAAGGCTCGCTTTAAACTCGTTTCTGTGAAAAGTCCAGAACCCTCCACAGTGTATATATTTGCTGACACGAATCCTGCCAAAGCTCTAGACCTAATTCTTGTCGCTGGAATTAAAACCACTTTTGCAAATTCCACAAGAAATAATTTTCGCCCAAACATGACCCCACACACTTGAATCGCTTTCTGGCTTCCCCCCGTAGACCTTATACGAGGGTTGAAGTAGGTTCAAACCCAGTTTTGTCAAGTTCTTAATGATTCACCAAGAAAAAAGCTCATAATAGCCGAAGAAAAAAGTTCAAATGTAGGAGGCTTGCACAGCGCAGCTTGTGAAAAGCCTTCTTGCTACAAGAATATGCTTTCATGCTCATAATGTATTACGTAAAGAATTCAAGAGCTTAAAAAGGAATTGCAGACCTGGAGAACCAGAATTCAAAATGACCTTGACGCCTAATAAGGTGACTTTTCAATGCACGGCAGAAAGGAAACCGGTGTGGAGCGACGTGCGAGTAACTAATACAACGAACAGACAAACATAGTTACAAGGTACGCTCCTATAGATTAAAAGGAACAAACGCGTGAAAGTAGACGCAATGTTCAGCAGAGCAAGTTCCAATGATAAAGATTTCGAGACGTACGACCCATGAGTTCGATAGTGTACTGTTCAGCAACCTTGGAAAAACTTGACAAGCCAGTCGTCGTTCTCACTGGGATAAAATGCAAAAATCAAGGGTAAAACACCAAAAAAGTGGCTCATGTTCGTTACGAGAGTTTCAAAAGTTAGATTTTGCCTGCAGAAAACTTGCTTGATCATGATGGAAGAGCATCCCGCAGCAGCTGGAACTACATCACAAAAGCAAACTACGCGTTGCTTTTTTCATAACCACCTAGGTCAGCTGTGACCATCAGCTTTCACATATAACGAAAACCTCTTAGGTGAAATGCACGTCGGCCGACATCTTCCGAGTTCAGCCCCCATTAGGATTCATTAAACCTGGTGAAACTGGAACGATACGAATGTGGTTTCAGGTAAACATGCACATGACATGGCAAATATCAACTGTTCATTGAACATTCTGCCGATTTCAGAATAAAGAAATCCCCGAGGGTCATCGCCATTACTTTGCAATTTACCATGTTAAATGCGCTGAGGGAAAAACGGTGAAGGAGATCTGGACGAAAACAGTGAAGCCAGATGGTAAGCCTACTCTAGTAGTCTATTAGATGGAAATTCTCGTCCTGAAAGAGGAGGCAGGACATCTTTTAGCTCTGAAATACTTGAACTTTTCAGGAGTAAAACGGATCGCTGCTGTGTTTGAAAAGATAACCGAGAAAAAATAACAAAGTTTCGATTCGTGCATCCTTATCGTTTCGTGATGTGTAATGAGTGCGACTAGCGAACAATGTTTGTTCACACTGGTTATAAAAATGCAAATCCGAGTTTTCATGCTTGATATAAAAACGTTACAGATATTCAGAGGTATTCAGGCGGACTAGTATTGCTCAACACTTACGCTTTCAGCCGACGTTGAAGATGTCTTTGAGGCAGAAGCTTCCAGATCATCCAGAGTATCCGTGATGCATCTGAAATTCGGGAGTTTACACATACAAAGATGAGTAGAATATAAAGGTGTAGGCGGAATGGCAAGAATAAGCTGGTGAACCCACTTGTAACTCTCTGCTCGTCGTTTTTCTGCTGCCTGCATTTCGCGATCCTCTCCGCCGCGACCATGGCGATATGCAATCAACGCCAGCTGCTTGGGATCATCTCGCTTTGCTTTCAACAAGCATAAATCCGCGAGATGCTCAAACGCGTTCACTGCAAATGCGGAACCACTCCATTACATGAATGAATTATTAACTTAGAGCGTGTGTGTTCGTAAGTCTGCCGGTCAGTCTCTCTGGTGGTCATTCTGCCTACTCGCACCCCAAATGCCCGTGGTTTGATAACGAATGGGATGAGCATCGATCGCTAACAGAGAAAAGAAGCAGTTTGGTCTGCAGCATCCATCTATGAATTGTTACGATTCAGTAGTACCCTATTGTGTAAC